TTATACGAAGAAATTTTTCAATAAAGGTTTCATCCGATTGAGTATCAAAAAAAGAAGAAAAATTCGATGGAAATGAATATCCCGAAAAGAATTGACTAGAATAGAAGAACTCGAGAAAATCTAAAGATTAACGTTTAACATAGTTTGAATCATGAATTGAATTGAATGGCTCGAACTGAAAGCAAACTCATGAATTGAATTACACACAGAAATGAATTGAACTGAAACTTTGCAGAAGAGAATTACATGAAGATCAGATTCAAATATTAAAAAAATACCGGGAAATGAAAATTTCAAGTAATTTCGATATGATATTAGGTTGATGCATAAGTCTTTTCGTTTTTTTCGTACTTCTGTTAAAAAGTAACAAATTCACCAATTAATCTATAGTTTGCTCTATAAAAAAAGTGTTTTTTTGTTCAATTTCCATCTTTTTAAATCAATTTCGGTTCACTTTCAAGCAAATTCGAGAGTGAAAAACGCCTTTTTCGTAAAAATCTATAAAAAACTCTACGGAAAAATTGGCTGAATGAATTTCTCTGAAATTTTGGCGAAATATCAAACTTTTTTTTCTCTATCTTTTATCTATTGACACGAAGATAGGTTTTCTTTAGCTAAGGTGTCTAAACCGCATCATCGAGTTAGCCCTTTTTGACTACCCGACTTCATACTCTCAAGAAAATCCAGGCATAAAATATTTTTAAACCCGTTTTAATGTTATTTTGCAGAAAAATATTTGGTTTTTCTAATGAAATCAACCGTAGTTTAATTGGTGCATTTGTTGGCTTGAAACGGCAGACGAAAAGGAACAAAAAGACTTGTGCATCAACCTAATACAATAAATATTATTCAGTTAGAAATTTGTCTTTGTTTTTCTCTTGTCTGCCTTAAAATCAGAACTTTATCTTGTTGCGGCAATTATGGCGCACCCTAAATACCGTATTCTCTCTAATAGTAGTGCGCACTACTATTTTTTCAACCCCCTCTCGAACCGCAATACTATTAGAGAGTGCACTACTATTAGAGAGAATACGGTAAAAAGTTTTCCCAAAAACCCAGAATTCCGCCTGCAGCTGCAAGTATTTTGCTCTCTCGTCGCTCCTGAATAGACTATTAGATCTGGAATTTGGAAAACAATCAGGATGGATTTCATTCGAAATTCCCCATTCATTTGTCATGTGATGTTCTCGGCGACGTTTGCGAAGAATTACGTGTAGTTAAGGTTTCAATGAAAACTTTATTATTGTGCGAGTTATTAAATGATCGTAATGAAGAGAAATGCTTTCAAAAAATGATCATAGATCACTTTCTTTAGAAGTCACCACTCTTGAAGTATCTCGAATCGGCGCTGTGCTCGCCGTGTCTGTGCGATTCGATTTGATATCTAGATGTTGCAAGTTGGTCAAGAACGCAGATACATTTTCACTAGTTTATCTCTCGATGTGTCAATCCATTTGAATCCGGAAGCTCGGAACTGATTTTCTCCGGCACCCACGTCGAAATGATGCTAAATGGTTTGAGTCTGATCTAGATAGATTCTCTATTCTCTCCCAACCTTCACAAAAACCGAGTTTTGAGGATTATCCCTCAGTGTTTGGCGAACTCCCGGCTTCTATCTTCCATCCAGCTTCCATCGCGCCGGACCCTTTGTTGAACTCATGTCAAAATGAGCTTGTCAAGATTAATTTTACTGACCGGTCGATCTTGGGAGAAAATGTTGTGGACCTTTCCGGAGCCTCCTTCGGCTCTCGGTCGAATGTGACCCATTTGATCGCCGGGACGTTTGTCCGGGTACAACAGATTTCGAGTGGACTTGATATCGTTGTTGCTACTTACAACTTGTATGTAGGTTTGGATTCTACGATATTCTTTGGATTCTACTCCCTTTAGCCAATTAGCAATAAATTCGAGTTTATGAGTGACTTTCTCTCCGAAGATCTTCGGTCAGTTAAGAAATTAATATCCCCGGATCGTTGAGCAAGCTTTATGAGAGGCTTTGAAGAAACAAGCTACAAACAATTGTCTTCAACTATTATAAAATGTTAGACTATTATAAAATGTTATAAAATGTTGATGAGAGAAGACAAAATCAAACAAGAAATTTGTTGGCCAGCAAAAGTTTTCTTATCACGGAAAATATGGAATTCGACGAGCTTTTAGACAAGTGTGAGACTCAAAAATAGGGGTCTGGAGATGTCCCAGCTTGAGCACTTTCTTGAAAAGAAACCCATTTTAGTCTTAATGGAAAATTTGTAGAGAATCCAAAATTAGGCTGATAGCCCAATTTCCAGAAAGATACACTTAGTGGTTTCGCTTAAAATGCAAGTTTGGTGAAAATTCGTAAACTTGGCATTTCTCGAAAACCAGTTTTTGAATCGTTCTGAAAATTTGGATATAAGCTTCATTTTTGATTCTCTACCACTTTTCCATTGACACCAAAATGGATTTCTTTTGGAGAAAGTGCTCAAACTGTCACATATGACGATAGCCGGCAGTTTTCAATTCACCAACCCAATCACTCACAAATCTGTGTCCGGCTTCTCGATCACTGACCGTTTTATTATCCCTGAAAGAATTAAAGAATATTGAATGGAGTTTGGCGGGGAACACACATGAAAATACCCACATTTTTGTTTAAAGCTCCGCGTTTTATCATTCACCTACTTCACACGAACTGACGGTTTTATTCTTCCTGAAATGCTACCTTTATTTGTTCGAAGTTCTATTCGAAGCGATTGTTTCAACGACTTAATGAGTCAATCTTCGGTTGGAAGGCGATCGCTTTTCTAAACAATTTCAGAGCCCTCAAAAGCTCTTTTCCGTCAGAAGAACAATTGTTTATCGCATGGTCGCCTCATTCGTTCTTCCCATTTTCCAATCAATTCCTCTCATTTTTTTTCAGAAAAACTCAAAATACGGAAGTCAGAGACGGAAAAGCCAAGATTGGAGAGCTCGAAGGGAAAATCAACGCGTTGCAAAGCAAGAACTCTGACCTCGAAACTCAAATGTGGGTTTATTTGGTATCTCTGGTCGACTGAGACTTGAGAACACAGCTTTTTCACTCCCAAAACACCCATTCCACTCAATCCAATCATTTCCTCTCTAGACAATTTGAAAGAGAAAACAAAACGGTCGAAATTGCGAAGCTGCATGCAGATTTGTGAGTTTTTTTAAGGAAAGGATTTAGTATTCGTTTAAAAAGTCTGAAGTAAATTTTTCGAAGAAATTCAGCAATCGAACGATGAATCTCTTGAATCTGTATCGGGATGGATGGTCGTATTTGGCAAAAACCGCTTCTTGGTACAAGGTTTGGTGGATGTTGTGAACCAGGATTATCTTCATCTCAAGGTTATCGATCAAGAAATTACATTTGATGAAGCCGAGGCATATTGTGCGAGTCGAAAGGGCCATTTAGTCACAATTCACAGTCAGGAAGAGAACGATTTTGTGCAAGAACTCGGTAAGAAATCGAAATGATTCAATTTATGCAGAAATTTATGCTTTATAAACCAAAAACAATCGATTATTTTAGCGGAAACTGTTCATTCGACTTCTGGCTTCTGATAGGACTGAAGGTTGAATTTTTCTTATCGAAAGAAATAACAAAAAAGAAAGTAATGGTTCTTTCAGCCATTCTCGGAAGGCTCTTTGTGAAAAAATGATTCGTTTGACTGATAGTTCTTTGGTAGAAATAATGGTTTCAATTGAGAAACTAGAATAATTTCAATAATAAGAAAGGAAAATCGGATCGAATTAGCAACGTCTAAACATAAAAATTTCTTTATTCAGAGAAATCCGAACCAAGGAGATGCTTTTGAATGGACGGATGGAAGTTCGGTGGATTTCACGAATTGGTATCCAGGAGAACCGGCTTCGAGAACCAACTCTACGGTGAGATTTTCAACGTGAAATCATCAATATTTATTCCAATCTGCAATGCATGATTAATCCAAAAATATTTCGATCAATCTGAGGAAATTTCTTGTTGTGAAATAACGCAAAGTGTTTTATCAAAGGATTTCCATCAGAAATGAACTCATTTCAGCTTCTGAGCCACGATGGGAAATGGCAGGTCATTGTTCCTACCCATCAGCGTTATTTTATCTGCAAAAGGAGCTCTCAATTCTGATAGATGCTTTGTGTTCCTTTCTGTGGACAAATACCAATAAATCCCATTTTATTCAATCTTCTGAAAACACACAACTGCATACTAACTTTTTCTTTATTTCTGAATTGCTTCTTCAGAATCTCTTATAAAAACATTTCCCAAAAACCCAGAATTCCGCCTGAAGCTGAAGCTGAAACTCATTTCATTACACAGTATTAACAGTTTTTCGTAAGTGAATCCAATTGTAAATCATTAACTTTTGCCAAAGTTCGCATATTTTACTATAAAAGCTTACAACTGCTTATATGATTAGGCAAAACTCTCGATAGTAAATCACTTTTGGAGAATCCCTTGAAAAAAAGTGATCTCTCAACAATTCCCACCGTTTCTCATTGTGGAGATCGTCTTGAATGCCCGCAAGAAAGGTGAGAATTACCTCATCCGTGAACTTGTTGTTAAGATTCGCCGTCAAATCTTTGAAGATTTGGAACGGCAGTCACTTGGAAAGCGTGACGGGCCACCACTTCGCGCATCTGGAAGAGAACTTGTATCGGTGAGCTTTTCCGGGGCTAAGTGCGTTCAAAATAGTGGTCAGATTTTCCATTTGAAATGTAAAAGTACGCTATACGACTCTTAGCTCAAGCTCAAAATAGGCAGGCGACTATAAGCAGGTAGCTGAAGTCGCAGCTCATGTTGTACCTTACCAGGGAAGGCAGAAGGTCAGCCTTGAGTTTTGAGATGAGACCAAGTGGGTGTTATAGAATCGAGAATTAGAATCTGTTCTTAGTTTTTGCTGAATGCTTCTTAAACTCGAGCCATCTGGCATACAATTTTGGAGAGGCGAGCACTTCATTCATCCATTTGTGCGCAGAGATGCAACCTCGGCGGGGAAATGGCACTATTCCGGTCTCCCAACCAAATGACTGGGGTTCGACTCCTTTCGGCGACATTTTTTGTTTTAAGACAGGTTAAAACTTGTGAAACCAATTCTGTGGGGTCAGCAATTTCAAATCTGCCAACCATTCGCCTTTTCTTTCTATTTTGAGTAAGCTAATTCACCAATAATTTTGTTTTTTTTCAGATGGACATCAATCCAGCTCATGTACTTGGAGTGCTTGTGAAACGTTTTGGATATGTTCAGGATTCTCAAGTTTTGTGCCATCGCGAAGAGCAGAAGATTGTCATTATTCTTTTGAACACTGTTGAAAGGGACATGTTTTATGAAGAAGCTAATCACGAGTTCGAAGAGGGTGAATATAACCCCAAATCGGATCTCTTCTAAGCATATCCGGAACCTGGTACTTTTTCACTATCGGGGGAGCGGTCCGATTATCGGGGGAGCGGAAGGATTATCGGGGGAACGAAAGGAAAAGCAGGGGAGCAAATTTTGTTCCCCCGAAAAATGCATTTCCGGGACTGTATTTTAACTGCAACGTTTTTTTTAAAACTTTAACGACGATACGCTTCATTTGTGCTTTCAACGACATTTGTGCGTTCAAGGAATCGACGGTTATTTCGATTATTTCGTCACCAAAGGAGTCATCCAGTCGTGGATTTGCAACAGTGGCAAATCGATGAAAGTCCGCTCAAAGGGAAAAGATCTATTTTGCTGGCTATGTGATACTTGCGCACGGCGAAAGGTCCCCAAGCATTCAAGATGAATTCGAGTCGATAAGTTTTTGCAACAAAGCAAGCTCCCGTTTGTCACAATTTTAAAGTTCATTCATCTATGGAGCCAGGGACTCACGACAATCAAATACTGTCAGCAGGAGCTCGGCATTAGTTGCGACACCGTTGTTGAATGGAACTACTTTCTCCGCCAAGTGTGCGCTTGGAAAATCAAGAAGCTTTCGATTAACAAGATCGGTGGTGCCGGACTCACTTTTTATCCTTTCAGCCATTTTGTGAAAAAATGAGCCCTTTGACTGGTAGTTCTTTGATAGAAATAATGGTTTCAATTGGGAAGCTAGAATAGTTTTAAAATGAAAAAATTTTAAATATCAACGGTGAAACATAACAATTTCTTTATTCAGCGAAATCCGGACAAAGGAAATGCTTTTGAATGGACGGATGGAAGTTCGGTGGATTTCACGAATAGGATGATGGGAGAGCCGGATTCGAACACCCACGCTGCGGTGAGATTTTCAACGTGGAATCCTCAATATTTATTCCAATGCATAATTAATCCCAAAATATTTCGATCAATCTGAGGAAATTTCTTTTTGTGAAATAACGCAAAGTGTTTTATCAAAGGATTTCCATCAGAAATGAACTCAAATGAGCTTTGGGGTGGCGATGGGAAATGGGGAGCCTATCCTCCTACCAATCCGTATCGTTTTATCTGCAAAATGAGCTCTCAATTCTCATAAATGCTTTGTGTTCTTTTCTGTGGACAAATACCAATAAATCCCATTTTATTCAATCTTCTGAAAACACACAACTGCATACCAACTTTTTCTTTATTTCTGAATTGTTTGTTCAAATTCTCATATAAAAAGTTTTCCCAAGAACCCAGAATTCCGCCTGAAGCTGCAAGTATTTCGCTCTCTCGTCGCTCCTGAATAGACTATTAGATAAACGTGTTAAACATCAATGGACATCAGCACTTCTTTGGGGATGTTTCTCAGGTTCAGGAGTTGGTCCACTCATGCGCATAAAAGGCATCATCAACGCCGAAAAGTATGTGGATATTTTGGAAATTATATATTGCCTTGTGTTAAGCAAGATTTGCCTAACGGATGGACTTTTCAACAGGATCGCGACCCCAAACACACAGCCCAACGGACCAAAGCTTGGTTCAATCGAAATCGCGTGTCCATTCTTCAGTGGCCTGCTCAGAGCCCCGATGCAAATCCTATTGAACATGTATGGAAGTACTTGAAGAAACAATGACAAGGATATAAAGCAAAAAATTCTGATGATTTGTACCGGAAATTACAAGAAGAGTGGGCAACAATTGATGCAGGAGTTATCAAAAAGCTTATTGAATTAATGCCTCAGCGAGTTGAAGCTATTATTGATGCAAAAGGTCAAAATGCAAAATATTAGTTCTTTTTCGATTTTGATTCTATTTATACTGCTTTTATTGAATAAATATCCTCAGAGCTCAAAAACCTTTACAGCATTGGTAAGGGGGTCATTACTTTTCAGCGACCTTAATTCTGCTTTTCTATGTCGTGTTTTAGAAAGCATTCCAAATGAGCTGAAACCAAAATATTTATGCATGTTTATGAAAAATCTAGATTTTGTTTTTAAACAGTTTCGATCGTTTCGATGTTTCGAACAAAAAGAATAAATTTCAATCAATGTAGAACGTGGTGAAGCAAAACATTTCAGACTCTCGACGATCTGGTCTACATCGCTAGAAAGCTGCAACTCAATGAAGACTTGTCCCTGGGCTGAGCGCCCGAGAATATTTGACCTCAAAGCGGCAAGGTTGCCAATTCTACGATCCGGAATACATCGAAATAAGTTGAGTAAATGACTTTTCCTTCAATTTAGACTTAGAACCTTGTTTGTGAGGTCGATTGGTGCCAAAACATTTACTTTGAGTCTCAGCAAAACATGTGTACTTGTTAGTAGTTCATTTCAAATGATCCCTTCGAAATGGAAAGAATCGGGCGCTGGGTATGTCGAAATAAGGCATCGAAGATCGAAGATAGTTTCCACCTAGATTCAGCTAAGCGATGGGAAAGACAAGACAAACACAAAAGGGTATACATTGGACTTACCAGAGCCATTCAATGCCAATCCTTCCATTTTAGTCGCGCCCGCAAAGTGTGGAAACCACACAAACTCGAAGTTGATCCTCATGGGCTTTTTTTCGTTTTTTGTGAAGGTTGGGAGAGAAGCTATCTAGATCAAACTCGAACCATTATATTGATATTTTCTTGATATTTTCATATCAAGAAAGTATTTTGCTCTTTCGTCGCTCCTGAGGAAAAGAATCATTTAAGTAAATTTTCGCTACAAGATGTTGCAAAACATCAGAAACCGAAGTCAATCATTTTACAACAGGACAAACAAAGACGGTTCGAAAACCCAATTAGCTTTGAAACCTGAAGCTTTATTGATTCCTGACAATGTTTACTTTTTAGTTCATTCAGCTCATTTGGCTATCTAAGCTATGTTTTAATCTGAAATGTCAGAGGTCCTGAAGTTCGAAGTGAGCTACACCGTCACTCTAACCGTAACACCAGATAGTAACATCACTCCGCGAAGGGCTTGGGCAAAGGCTAAATAACGATGATGGTGCAAGATCAGAAATTACGTTAAGGGTTGAGGGTTGAAGTCCCACGTAAACTTATTTAAAATCCTTGCTGTCGTGCCAATCGAGAATCAATTTGTTATCGATAACGATCGATAACGCCAATCGATGACGGTAAAGCAGGAATCTTTTCGGCTAACCCCGCTTTTCCTGCTGGACAGTTGGGGCTGAACGTAGTCGGGGATCCATTTATCCAAAGAACCTTTATTCTGTTCCTTTGTTGTTTTGCGCTGAAGTTCATGGATATTAGTTGTTATTTGAAGCAGATACCATAAAAGGACAAGAAACTTCTTAGCTAGACAAAAAGGGACATAATTAGAGCTAAATCATAATTAGAGTTTGTGACAACTTATCTTTTAAAAAATATATCACAAAACACAGAAGTCTAGCTAGCGTCTTTTTGGCATCGTTCCATTTCTTTCCGCTGTGCGAGACCGCTGCTTACAGGGCTGTCCAAAGATTATTGCTATCAGTTTTTGGAAAACTATTCTTTTTTTTAGAATTTTCTATAGGAACTATAGAAAGGCCAGATGGCCGACCGGTTAGAAGTCTTGTCTTTTAAGCGGAAGGTCGAGGGTTCAATCACGCTGGCAAGATAAAAATGTTTCTTTTTCCCACCAAGTGGGTTTTTTCTTTCACAACATTTGGGTAATAGGGATAATAGGGGTAACGGCCGCAGTGCCATAAAAATTGTGTATTTAGCCCGTTATGTCTTATTATGTATCCTTTGTTTGTATCACATTATTGGCTTTCAATAAATGTATTTTTTTTTTTTGAACTAGCATGTATTATATATCATTTGCAAGCTCTAATTCTCAGCATCATTAATACATTCAGAATTCTCTGGTTAGAGCTTATCCTTACTGGGCTTCGGAATGAGCTCGCAGCGAGCACCTACCGCAGTCTGCCATTTCTCTTGGCCCTCGAACGATTTCTTACTTCTTAGCCCTCCTCAACGGGTGAAAAATGATACAACACACATTAAGAAAACGGGACTCGGAAAGGTTCTTTACTACCCTAATCGAAATGTTTTAGACTAACAAAAAGGGTTCAACGAATAGTGAACTACAGAACACTGGTTGCTAGGCATCCAGATAATCTCCCGATTTCATCCCTTCATCTCTACCGTTATCCTAAAGCGATGCTGAGCCGAAATTACTCTCTCTTCCCTCCTTTCTAAGCCTCAAAAATGCGGGAAAGGGACGGTGACTAGGCATCGAATGTACCCGAAAATTCCATAGATAAGAGCGGTTCATAGATAAGAGGTTTTCGGTTTTCGCTAAAAAATACTTTTTTCTGAAATTTTGTGATAGATATTAATTTTTTTCTTTATTTTTCTTTTTTTTGTTTTTTAACCTTACGTTTTATATTTTTTATTATAGAAATCATGCAACGTCGCAAGTCTTATACGGCGGCTTTCAAGCTTGATGCGGTGAAGTACCGGGATAAGCATGGAAGACTAGCGGCAGCTATTCATTTTAATGTGGATAAAACAATGATTAGAAAATGGGTTGCGGATAGGGATATCCTCGAGGAGATGCCAGCAACGAAGAGAGCCCGGCGTTACGGAGGGCCACGCGTGAAAGGAATTGAGGTGGAAATTTACAATTGGATTGTTCAAAAGAGAGCCTAAGCCATAATTCTGATTAGCCTTCTCCTCTCGAATATAGATTTCTTAAAACATTAAAGGCAAAGATTTAGAAACAACACGAATCACCTATCGAATCTCGGAACAACTACAGTATGTCCTATCAAATCAGCCCGGATAACATGGAAAATTTGGTATTCTTTACATTTTCTCAAGTGCGCCAATGTTATGGCTTAGCATAAAGTTTAGAAACTACACCAGCCAGCTGATATTGATCACAACCACATCCGCCATGAAGCGCTCGAAGCCCAATCTTCCTCTATTAACCATGAAGCTCAAATGGCTAAATGTCTTGTTAGTTTCAGTCTTGTTTGAAAATAAGATATCATTGAGTCATTCCAGTTCGAGCAATGTCCCTCTCATCTGGAAATTACGGGGCCAGCACATCTCTTTGACCACATGATCACTCATGCGTCGACTCGTCGTTTTCGATGCTCTGGTTAGTTTGTTTCTCGACTTGCATATTATTTAAATTCACTGGTTGTCTTTTAGAATGTGGCACCCCGAAAAATAGACGCTCCGCCTTCAAAGAGCATAAAGTGAATCGCATAAAATGTCGCGGAGAAATGATCGATGAGATGTTTGCTTTTTCAGTCATTTTATTCATCATTCATTTTAGAAACTTAAAAATGATTGAGGAGTGGAGTATGCTGATTAAAAAATGCTTTCCACAACATTCCGCAGAAATGCATGAGTATCTGGCAAAAATAATTGATAAGGAGGGTTTGTTTGAAGCGAGCTTGATGGAAAAACTTCCGATATTGGCACCAAAGACACCAGAAAACGCCAAACCAAAGAAAAAGCGAGAAGAACTACGCGAAGGCTCGCTTAAGAAATATCTCGAACCACTTCTTGATCCGAGAGATGAATCTAATGGAATGAGTGATATGGAGATAAGTGAAAGTACTACCATCCCGGTTCAAATTGTGGAAATTTCAATGGTAAGTGAAGTTTAATCGGTTTAGCGACTTTGGAAGGCTCGGGTTATAGATGTAGTCAGCCATTTTAGCCCCAGCTATCACTATTGCGTCAAGATGTCATAAAGGATGAGGATTGGAATCAGAGAACAGGTAAACACTGATTCAAAGGCAATTTTTGTGCTATTCAAACAATTATTTTGGTTTATTTAAGATTGAAGATCTACAGGATAGGCCAAAAGTTCTGCTATCTTCCTTCCAAACGCAAAAATCAAACTAAATTTACATAAAATGAAACCAGAAAACTAATTCGGAATTTATAACAACAACCTAGATCAAAAAAAAGTAGATTAAACGCTCAAAACATTCTTCATTTACTTTAATACATTTGCTGAGAAGCATTCGAAATCGGTCGAATTTTCGGTCACCGACAATCCATCGGTTCTAGTGTTACTATCAAACGCATCAAGCACCTCTACATTGGAAGAGCAAAACTCGCAGCTCGGTCTCATCATTCAGGTAAATCTAGCAATGAAAAATTCAAATCAGTCAATTTTTGTAAACTTTAGAAGCGCAATGATGAAATTCGGCTCTTACGAGCAGAACGCGAAACTTGGAATCGAAAAATGGCCGAAATGGAGCAAATGCTGACTGGGAAATTGGCGGAAACGAGTCAGCTGAGGGAAGAAAAAATTGCGGTGAGTGAATGTTTGAAACAAAGATATTTACGATATTAAAGATATTACGATTTAACAAAGCCCACAATTCAATTTTAGTCTGATGCACATAGAGAGGCACAGTTTACAGCGCTACGGATTAAGGTGGGTTTGTTGGCAGAAAAAAAATACGCGCGACCAAATGTAAACCTCGTCATGCATACAGCGATTACATTTTGATGAATGCTGCATCCCTAATTCATTCATTTTCAGATCTTGAGGCTGGAAGCTCAATTAGGAACTCAAAGGATGAATGGGAACATTCCTTGCGTGCAATTGGATTGATTTGTTATTGGATTTGGATTACAGATCACAAAACGAGGCTTATGTTCTTTAAATTTGTTGCGTACTTACGTTATTTAAATCTCTAGTGGCTTATCTTGTGTTTAACGTTGACATTTTGCTTAAGCGATGATTTCGAGGTGATAACTGAAATTTTCTATATGATTTTGAATGATTTTGAAATGAAAGCATGTAGATTTTTAACATGTTTAGCTTTAAAGGATGATATCTTTGACCAATTTTCGCATTTCTAGGATGCAATTGTAAAATTTTTGTGTATTTTGATAAAACTTGCCACAATTGTAAATGATTTAAAAAGCTCGAACTCTTTAAAAGTCAAGCGAAATTCTAATAGATTTTATTACGGTAGCTTTCAGTCGATGACACGTTTTAGAGAACAAATTACTCAAGAGATCCAAGGTGCTAGCAAAAGCGCCAAAAATTATTTGCTCCACGTATCATTTGCGCCAAATTTGCCCATTTCAACATACTTTCCTACCAACTCTTATTGATCATTTATACTTTTTTCAGTTTTTCCTCGTTGACGATCCCTGCTTTTTTTGCTGCCTTCGCCAGATCTGAAAATGGCATAAGATTGGTATAGAGAATAAAAAGCCTAATCGGGGACACAAAAATGACAAGAATGACTTTTAAAATTTTTATTTTCATAATTATTTACGTCTTATGCAGAAGCGGTTTTCTATTTCTTTCCATCTAAAGTCCCCACTTTCCTCAAAAAAACTCCTCATTATCAGGGATGAAGAAGACCACCCATCAAGTCGGGGGGGAAAAGGAAAGCAGGAGAAAAGGAAAAGAGACGAGATTCTTCGAGTGGCTGAGTCTGAAAGGGGCAAAAAGAAACGGGGAAAGGGGAGTGGGAGATAAGAAGGGCAACATAGAAGGGACCATAGCCTCTTTTAACATAACAAACACAAACAACATGGTTATGGGGTTATGATGTTGCGTTGATCACAAATTTCGAAGGCTCAATTGTGAGTTCATTTCTTGTCGACTGAGACTTAAGAAAACAGTTTTTTCATTTCCCAAACACCCATTCCACTCAATCCAATCAATTCCTCTTTAGACAATTTGAAAGGGAAAACAAAACGGCCGAAATCGCGAAGTTGAGGGCTGATTTGTGAGTTTGTTTTATGGAAAAGGAAGTAGTATTTGTTTCAAAAAAGTGCGGAGTAAAGATTTTCGAAGAAATTCAGAAATCGAACGACGACTTTCTTGGATCTGGATGGCTGGTTGTATTTGGAAGAAACCGCTTCTTGGTACAAGGTTCGGTGGCTGTTGTGAACCAGGATTATCTTCATCTCAAGGCGCTCGATCAAGAAATGTCATTCGATGAGGCCGAGGCATATTGTGGGGGCAGAAAGAGCCATTTAGTCACAATTCACAGTCAGGAAGAGAACGATTTTGTTTGGAAACTCCGTAAGAAATCAAAATGATTCAATTCTGAAAATTCATGATTTTCGTAGAAATTTATGCTTTATAAACCAAAAACAACCGATATTTATTTCAGCGGAAACTGTTGATTCGGATTCTTTGTTCTGGATCGGACTGAAGGTTGAATTTTTCTTATGGAAAGACATAAATCAATATATTAAACTTAATTCTTTCATTTTTTTCAGCCACTTTGGAACGCACTTTGTAAAAAAGATTCGTTTGATTGATAGTTCTTTGATAGAAATAATGGTTTCGATTGGGAAACTAGAATCATTTCAATAATAAGAAAGGAAAATCGGATCTAAATATCAATGTCTAAACATAGAAATTTCTTTATTCAGAGAAATTGGAACAAAGAAAATGCTTTTGAATGGACGGATGGAAGTTCGGTGGATTTCACAAATTGGAAGGGTAGATGGCCGGATTCGTACACCCACGCTATTGTGAGATTTTCATGGTGAAAACATGAATATTTATTCCAATTTCGAATGCATAATTAATCCAAAAATATTTGAAGCAATCTGAGGAAACTCTTTTTTCTAAAATAATAAGTGCTTAATGGAAGGATTTCCATCAGAAATAAACATATTTCAGCTTTGGAGCCTCGATGGGAAATGGACGGTCTGGTCTCCTACCTCTCATTTTCGTTTTATCTGCAAAAAAAGCTCTTAATTCAAATAGTATATAATACATGATACTTTTTGTAGAAAGTTTTTTTGGAAAAGAATAGTCTTCTAAAATTTGTTGTCATAATTTTGGATGATCCTTTAAATCGCTTAAATCATCCAATCATAGCAAATTTTCCGGACCAACCATAGTTTGTCCTTCAAACGCGTACATCAATATTCCAATCTACACTTCCATCTCCATCCTTGAATTGCATTATGGCTTTAAATAAAGCTTCTAATCTTTAAAAATAACTACATTCCTCAAAGATAACTAAGAAATAACAAGATTTCTTTCCGGACTTTCCAGCAAAACTTTCCAGACTTACTGATCGCACCTAATCTGACATCCATTCACTAACAATTAACAATAATGCCAAAGCAACAAGAATAAAAAGTAGAAAACACATCTTTTCAAGAACTTTCTTTGATAAAAACTGTTTTAACACATTCACGACGATGGGACTCACCGGTGGGTCCCAGGGTGACTGCCATCTGGGACGACGGGATCCACCGATGGATCCCGGACCTCAAACCCTCATAATTTCCAACAAAACCTCATTCTAGGTGTAAAACAGTGTTCCCAATCGAGTGACGTTGTTGGATTTTCAATATCTTGTTTGATATTCAAGAGTAGGGCGAGCGATATTTGGTATTCGGCCGAGCGATAATGCCCACAACGCACTGCAAAACAATTTATAGAGAATGTTTTAGCGTATTCGAGTAGTATTTTTGTCGAAAATACAAAATTCAACATTATGAAGTCCAACTTTACATTAACTATTATAAAAAAATCTCAGGAAAAGGTTCAATGCAACAGAAACATAATAGTTTACATCATAGCTCGAGAAACGTAGGTCAACCGAATTTTTTGTAAAACCGAGCCTAAATTCAGAATCTACGCTATTTATTTGCTATCTATGCAAATTTTTCATAAAAATAGCTAATCTGAACGTCCCAGATGGAAGTTTTGCAAAAGAGCGCGCGCTATAAATGTGTTAAATCTATTTTAGCAACTCTGTATTCATCTCTTGCAACTGTCTCTATCTAACTGCCTCTACAGGTTTATTTCTATTTTTGAAGGCTGAATTAAACGTTTAATCGTTGCTTGTTAGGATTGATTGATAATTACGACTTGCCGTTTTTAAACTAAGGTTAATGAAGGGAGCAGGGTCTCTATTTGGCACTAGCTCGAACAAATTGTTACTATAAGACTCACCACAGATCAAAAGTCAACCAAACCAAGTGTTCAATTTCGGATAAATAGAGAGCAAGTTTGAAATAGCGCATAAGACCTCCCCCCAAGATGACAACTCGGGGTGTCCCCGAATCGGGGAAAATCACCGATTTTTATGGTTTTGGTGTCAAAAGGTACTGTCCAGAACGAATGGGAACGCCTCTCTGTCTACTCCCCTTTTGCCATCTCGTTGAGGGATTACGGTAAACTAAGAATTACATAGATTGGGCTGACAAGAAGAGATTTTTTAGTGGCGGTGGCCGAATCAGTGGGCCACGAGGTAATGGGCATCGTCGGGTCAAAGCCCGGAAACTCGAAAGAAAACCCAGGCTTTCTAGTCGATTGAAGGCACTCAAAACACCCAATTTCAGCCAGCCGAAACCCTTCCAATTCTCCATTCCAGATAAAGGAATTTATCATCGGCAGTTAATGCCTTTAAAAGTCAATCTGAGAATGTTCAGTGAGTACAAGACGCCGATCAACGTGATATCGACAGAATCACGATCAATATGTGTAGTGTCAGACAGACAACAAGAAATAGTAGTTTATTACTTTCTAGATCAAAATACACCGGTAAAGAACTATACAACTCGATCTATTACCCGGCAATCAATGAGTGAGTGCTTTGAAGGATCTGGCTCGAAAACCCAAAACTCACAGAAAGCCATCTGCTCATCTCAAACCAGAACCCAGTTCATATATAAGAAGGTAATTGATGATCATTGTTTGAAAACATCTCTCTTCATTACGATCATTTAATAACTACCCACAAGAATAATTTTTTCATTCAAGCCCACACGGGTTTCTGCTTTTTCTAATCTCCGAAAAATCTCCGCCTACAGAACCAACAGTGAGAACAAAAAGGGAAAAAAAACTCAAAGACAAATCGACGAGTTGAGGGACGAGAAGAGCGACCTTCACGAAGAATTGTCAGTTTCCTCATGCTGATGTCCATTGATGTTCAACACGTTTATCTAATAGTTAATTCAGGAGCGACGAGAGAGCAAAATACTTGCAGCTTCAGGAGGAATTTTGGGCTTTTGGGAAAACTTTTTAGATGAGATTTTGAACAAACAATTCAGAAATAAAGAAAAAGATAATGTGCAGTTGTGTGTTTTCAGAAGATGGAATAAAATGGGATTTATTGGTTTTTGTCCACAGAAAAAAACATAAGGAATTTATCAGAATTGAGAGCGAATTTTGCAGATATGACCCAACTCGGTAGGAGCATAGGCCAGCCAGTTCCCATCGCCGCTCCAAAGCTGAAATGAGTTCATTTCTGATCGAAATCCTTTGATATAACACTTTGCCTTATTTCACAAAAAGAAATCTCCTAAGATTGGTCCAAATATTTTTGAATCAAATTATGCATTGGAAATTGGAATAAATATTGATGATTTCACGTTGAAAATCTCACAAAGGCGTGGGTCTTCGAACCCGGCTCTCCAGCCCCCCAATTCGTGAAATCCACCGAACTTCCATCCGTCCATTCAAAAGCATTTTCTTTGTTCGGATTTCTCTAGATAAAGAATTTTTTATGTCTAGACATTGATATTTCGATCCGATTTTCCTTATTTCTTCTTGAAATTCTTCTAGTTTCCCAATTGAAACCATTATTTCAATCAAAGAACTATTAGCCGAACGAATCATTTTTTCACAAAAAGCCTTCCGGAAATGGCTGAAAGAATTATTATTTTCTATATATTTATTTATTTCTTTCAATAAAAAAAATTCAGTCCGATCCAGAACCCAGGAAAGGGTTGAACAGTTTTCGCTGAAATAAATATCGATTGTTTTTGGTTTATAAAACATAAATTTCTACGAAAATCATGAATTCTCAGAACTGAATCATTTCGATTTCTTACCGAGTTCCCAAACAAAATCGTTCTCTTCCTGACTGTGAATGGAGACTAGATGGCTCTTTCGACTCGCACAATATGCCTCGGCTTTATCGAATGACAATCCTCCATTTATCACCTTGAGATGAAAATAATCCTGGCTCACAACATCCACCAAACCTTGTACCAAGAAGCGGTTTTCGCCAAATACGACCATCCATTCAGTTTCAAGACCCAAGTCATCGTTCGATTTCTGAAATTCTTCGAAAAACTTCACTTCAGACTTTTAGACCAATACCCAATCCTTTTCTTTAAAAAAACTCACAAATCTGCCCGCAACTTCACAGATTCGGCCGTTTTGTTTTCCCTTTCAAATTGTCTAAAGAGGTATTGATTGGATTAAGTGGAATGGGTATTTTGGGAATGAAAAACTGTTTTCTCAAGTCTCAGTCGACGAGAGATACCAAAAATGAACTCACATTTGGGTTTCGAGGCCAGAGATTTTGCTCCGCAACGCGTTGATGCCTTCGCCTTTCACTTCAATCCTGGCTTTATCTCTCTCTTCCGTATTTTGGGCTCTTCTGAAAAAAGTCCGATTTTCATCGATATTTTATGTTGAGCCTGTCTAAAAGGAAATTACAAAATTTGATACAATTGTGCTTCGAGATCCTCGTTCTTCTTTTTCGTCTCAGCGATTTTCCTTTCCAATTCTCGATTGCTCTCACTTCCCTCAACCAAATCAGCCTCCAACTTCGCCATTTTCTTCGCCAACAAGAATTTATGGATAAACATTATGAAATAGGTTTATTGAAAATAGATGGTAAATTAGAAATTGACAACAAAATTAGTGGCAATCAAAACAACAACAAAATTTGATTATGTAGTTAAGGGAGATGATACAAATAATAATCAAGTTGATGAAAAGGATACTATGGCTATTCCAGAAGCTAAATACGATTTTAATGAATTAGTTAATAACATTAATAGTTCGTTGAAAAGCAACAAAAACTTCTTTAATGCAGGATTAGAAAATGGTCCATTCCCGTTATTTTCTTGTAACTTTTTGAATCGAAGGCAATCTTATTCACTAAAAGTTAAGGAAATCTTCAAGGTCATTTTTCGACCCCTGACCTCTGACACTCCAGGATCCCTACATCGATGCTGAGTCGAAATTACTCTCTTCCCTCCTTTCTCAGCCTCAAAAATACGGGAAAAGGACGGTGACTAAGCATCGAATGTAAGGAGAATCGAAAACTTAATCAAAAGCAATGAGAATAAAAAATAGAGAGATTTATTTTTCACAACTTTTAATCTCAAGTGCAGGGATGAAGTCAGGCGATTTACCTGGATGCCTAGCAACAGGTGCGTTTCTATTGTTTGCTATTAGTTGAAGACTTTTTGTTAGTCTAAAAAGTTCGATTAGTGCGCAGTAGTAAAAAAGCTTTCGGAGTCCGTTTTCTTAAGGTGTGTTACATCATTTTTCACGGTTCACTTGTCAAAAGCTTTTGGAGATGATTGTATCAGTGAAGGTCATTGTCGTCAATGGTTTCTGTGGCTCCTAAACATTTTTAAACAACCCGATCTCGAAGTTTTCAAGATAATTCACCAAAATTTTTTCAGCTTTGAATTTCATTTATTGATCTTTCGTCGGGTTTGTCGAGTGCGTGAGTCAGAAAAGGCCAGAAAGAGGCGGGAAAGGAGAGGAGCGAGATAAGAAGTGTCTCTGGCAATATCGATACCACAATACCAGACCTCGCTTCTAAAACTTCTTTTCTCATTTTAATATTTGAATGAAATTGAAAAATATTTGAGTTTTCCTCATCACCGTTTGCTACCGTGCAACCGTTTGTATACCAATTTTGGTAAGCTAGCGTCAAAGTACTCCAAAATCTCGTTTAAACTGTCTTAGGATCTGTAGCGAAATTCACACCGTTAATTCTATTCTTCTGACTTGATATTGAACTCTCGATCTTTTGGTCGATTTCTTAATTCTTTTAGCCTTCTCCTTTCGACTATAGATTTCTTAGAAAGTCAAAGACTTAGAAAGAACACGAATCATCTGTCGAATCTGGGAACAACTACAGTATGTCCTATAAAATCAGCCCTAATAGCATGGAAAATTTGGTATTATTTACATTTTCTCAAGTGAGCCAATGTTATGGCTTAGCATAAAGTTTAGAAACTCCACCAGCCAGCTCCCCCAGCCAGCAACCACATCCGCCATGAAGCTCTAGAAGCTCAATATTCCTTTACTAACCTTGAAGCTCAAGATCCGCCATCAACTCGAGCGAAAACTGTTTCGGTCCCATGTCTTGTTAGTTTCAGTCTTTTTTGGAAATAAGATATCATTGAGTCAATCAAGTTAGAAAATTTCAGCATTGTGGCTCTTGTCTGAAAAAAACGTGGTCAGTACATCTCCTTCAACACATCATCACTCATGCGTCGACTCGTCGATTTCGATGCTCAAGTTAGCTTGCTTCTAGAATTTACATATTTCCTTACATATTCCTTAAATTCACTCATTGTCTTTTAGAATGTGACACCACGAATCATACACTCGCCGAACTCAAAAGGCATCACATAAAGTGTCGAGGAGAAACGATCGATGCCATGTTTGCTTTTTCAGTCATTTTAATCATCATTCATTTTAGAGACTCAAAAATGATTGAGGAGTGGAGTAAGCTGATTGAAGAATGCTATCCACAACATTCCGCGAAACTCCATGTCTATCTGAAAATAAAATTTCAAACCATTTTTGAACTCATAAAGCAAATTTGACCGAATAACGATACTTGTGTATACCATTTTCAAGCTAAAATGAAAGTAGTTTATTGTCGTCCTTTTAACAAAATAAATATATCATTCGAAAGAGGAAAAAATAAGCTTTTAAACGATATATATATCGTTCACAAAAAATTAAAAATTGTTTAGATATATTTATTTAAACAAAATAAAAATAAAAAACGTGGATTACTTTTTCACACACCTAATATTTCTACGCCCATAACACAAAATAATATTTTACGCTCCGGAATTTCAGGGTGATGGTTTATCGAATGAGCAGAGTATAAAGACATATACCCAAATCACATAATATAACAAACACAAACAACAACAATCAAAATCAAATCAAAAATTCCAAACAAACAATTGCCTCGGGAGGGCTCCACCAGATTTGGAAGACGTGTCGTGATGGAATATGTGAGTGATTCATTGGGAGCGCAAGGAGGGAGAATCTCGTCTCTTTTCCTTTTCTCTGGCTTTCCTTTTTCCCCACCAGTCTCGACTAATGAAATGGAATTTTTTGAAGCAAAGGAGAAAATGCCCCATATTCTTCCCAGTCGGGCTTTATCCGGGTTTTCTCTGAAACCTCTCGAATTTCTCAAATATTTTGCCGGTAAAAGAGAAAAGAGAGGCTATGGTCCCTTATCTATTGCCCTTCTTATACTCCCTCATAGCATATTCCCCTCTCCCCCATTCCCCCTTTCTTTTTGCCCCTTTTGGGGCAAAAAATCCATCGGCGAGTCTCGTCTCTTTTCCACCAGTCACGAGTCGGTGGGTGGTCTCCTTCATCCCTGATAATGAGGGGTTTTTTTGAGGAACGTGGGGACTTTAGATGGAAAGAAATAAAAAACCGAAAATAATTAGAGGAGTGCTCGCTCAAATGGAAAAATAAATTCATGATCGTTATACTGGCGCGTAAAAACTGACCCATTTGAGAAATTCTTCAACAAGAATTGCTTTCACTTTTCTAAGCTAAAGTTTTCACCTTGTTTTAAACTATAATATCTAACAAATCCAAACCCCAAGACCTTCTCCATTTTTGTGGGAATGAACCCTGGTGCTACCCAAAGAACTTCATTGAAGAAATTGATAAAAAATTGATACTTTCAATCCATACTTAAAAAAACCAGTGCGAAACGACCACACAAAAACTCGAAGAAGAAAATAGATAAGGCCATTTGAGCCGGTCAATTTTTGAAAATAATAAAATGAAATTGTGTTTTGGGTGATCTGCTGTGAATTTTGAGTCCTAAAGGGTTGTTTGGTGATAAATTGATGTTTTGTTTGAAAAGTGTGCAAGTTTTTTTGGCAAAATTGGACTTGGAAAACAAATGCAAATGGAATCCAATGCATTAAATTAGAAACTACAGTGTCTCCAGCGGACTTTGGCATACTTCCTCTTTGAAAGCAGCCCACCCAAAAGAGCTTATCTTCATCCGAAATTTCGCCCCTTAAAATTTCACAAAACTCACAAAAATGTCACAAACAAAAACTCGGCTTAGGAATGCGTTATCTGTTTGCCCATAAAGTTTTTCAACGATCGCCCCTTGTGAGTTCTCAGCTGACGTTTTTTTCGATCCCCTAAATCCGGGTTTTTGCTGTTTTGGGCCGTGAACGTCGAGAGGCTTACCAAATCGAGCTTCCATATAAATACAATGCAGTTTACAAAGACCTCCATCTGGCACCAGTTCCCAACTTCAAACCGAAACAATGAGTCTTCTCTCCTCTTGCCTTGCTCTTCTCTTCGCCGTTCTTCTCGCCTTTGGTGCGTTCAAGTGTAAATACAATAAAACCTTACTAAGCTAAAGCTCTAAAGAGTGGCCTTTTCAGAACTGCCCCTTCTAAAAGGTACCTACTGTTAGAAATAAATGCTCAAACAGGCAAGGTTCGATTGTGGTTCACTAAAAAAATGCTTTTAAGGTGTCTATAAGAAACTGTAGTATATTGCTCAAAGTTTTTGTTAGAAAGATAGCCCGTCTAGCTTCAAAATTTAAAAGAAATCAATGATTTTAGCCTCTGTTTCCATGGTCAACGCTGATCCCGTCCCGTTATGCGGCTCATCTTGCCCGGTTAGTTCAATTGTGAATTTGAAAAACTCGGACTCGTTACTGCAATTACTGATTGATTATAAGAAGGTGGGATCCGGGTTTACTTGGAAACATTAACATTAATGTCACAAGTTTCTCATTTAATTTCAAAAATGTCCATTTTTAGAACGTCGCCACTTGTTGTTTCGCAAAAGGCTATTTGAATGGTGGTTCCTGCATGAGTGGAGCCGCCTTCTGCAGCTGAAAAACGACAAATCGAAAACGGCAAATCTCGAGTGTTATGTTCAATTCTTGTATTTTCTTGAATAGATTGTATTGGAAGATGTTTTTCACGAAAACGACAAATGAAATCAGATTTTGGGTGTCGAGTGAGAGCTCTTCGTCTTGGTGACCGTTATACTCATGACGGATTGAGAAGTTGAGTTGAGTTGAGTTGTACTTTTCTTTTTCAGGAAGACCATGTTTAAATAACTAAGCAAGGTATGAAAGTTAAAACCGAGAAAATGTAGCAGAACCTCAGTCCAAGCGTGTAAATACATGTGGAAGCATTTGAGTTCAGTTGCAATGCCACAGTCGATAAGTAGTAGCCAAAGAATGGATATTGCACAATGGTGATCAGACTCGAAAGAAAATAGTTCGAAAAATAGTATGTTGAGTTACCGATCATCTGAAAAGCGTTTTGTGACTCGTTTGGTATCTTCAGAAGATCCAATTTAATCAGTCAAGACTGATAGATCAAAACAAACTTGTACAGACTCTGTATTGGCAAAAAGAAGGCAATTTAGATTATTATTTGTATATTTACTATATTTGTAGGTAACCAATTTACCCAATTGATCATTAAATGTTCTGAATCTAATCCAACCTGAACCATTAAACGTCTCTCCGCCATCGAGACTTTGGAATTATTCAGCTAAATCTCTCATCTCTTTGAGAAACACCATTTTAACTTACTTTTCGAAGCTTTAAAAAAGTGAAAAAATCCATTGTGATCATGAAATATGTCAGAGTTGGCGTCACATACATATTCACAATTGTACTATCTGTAAACGATGATACGCAGAAAAGCGAAATCGCTCCCGAATAGCAAATGAGAAACTGGTGGACGGTGTGTTTTGTTGTATACTCGAAGAGCATTCCATCGAAAGAAACGGCCAAGAAACGGCTAATCACATTTCGAGAGTGATGCACTTTTTTCAAACCTGATCGAGACAAAGAACTGACAAAATGCGTTCACGACGACCAAACCCCCGAAATAGTTGAAAAGCAAACCGGCGATGCCATCCCTTGCACATCTACAATTGAAATTTCTTTAAGGGGCGACCGATTCTCGTTAGAAGTAAATAATTCACTTGGCATTATTATATGCCTCAATACGCAAAATAACCGGTTGTTTTATGCTTTTTCATCTAAAGCTAACAAATCCAAGTAGTAGCAAGGCAAGATTGATATTAAGGTCTTGAAAATGAGGGACTCCCGAAAAGTCAGTCCTGGGAAAGCAACAACAAGAGGGGTTTTCTCGTTTAAAATTAACCATATTTCCAAGATTATGTTTGAAACAGCCAGTCCAACAAGCAAACTGAAATTGTGGCTAGAACATTCAAAGAGGAAATTTTTCTAGACTCAAACCGATGTGAAAGCAGAAAATTTTAGCCAATCAACTGTTTTCTTACGCTATCTCAGGTCAATTCTGAGATATATTCTTTGTAACAACAATAACAATAAGACTAATGAGTAAAGTTTTTTAAGTATCATACATAAGTCTCATAAAGTTTTTTACCCAGTATTCAAAAAAACTTGGCACAGGCCGGTCGCCATTTTAAGTAACGTATAGACGAATCGTTGCACATTTTCGCCCGTTAGGATTAGCCTGAAAAGTTCTTTTTGTGAGCCTATTCGAATTCCTACTGTAATTAGCTGAGTGCCTTTAGAGTTACACTTCAGTAAAATTACAGTAACTTACCGAATACTCAGCAATAAGTCATCATTTCTGGCCGAGTAATAAATCGCGAAAACGTTTGTGAACACACCAATAAAAAGCACCTGCATGCAAATGAGTTTTATTCTTTTTTGTAGCAAAACTCACCAAAAAGCATCCGGATGCGAAAAAATTTTGAAATCGCAGAAACGTATCCCCGCTGATCTCAAGGAGTCCTGGCTGAGTTGGGTCTGACTGGTAGCTGATGGCACGTTGAGACATTAGCTTCAACTTGATCACTTGGCAAACATTGCCGAGAGCTGGAATTGAAATTGAAGCATTGTTTTTATAATAAAGAAATGATCAAAATAAGTTCACCAACAGTTTTGGCACTTTAGGGTTATATCAAGAGCAGACTGGTTTTTCTGCAAGTTTTGTAGTATTTTGTTGAAAAATGTTTCGATCGAAAGTCCGATTATGAAAGTCTGTCTGGCAGCATACATCAGATCAAAAATTATTCCTGGCTGGAAAGTACGAGCTTGTTTGATTTTGTAGCTTAATAAAGTGCTTGATCTAGGCTTGACTTGACCAGGGTCGCTTTGAAGGCAAGGTCAGAAGCCAAGACTGGTCTTGCCTGGCTTGGCTTTGCTATGGGTCTAGGTTTACTACAAGCTTGGTCCACAAAAGTCCTTGCTCTGACTTCTAGCTTACCAGCTTACCTGGTAAACCTGGCTTACTATGTAAGCTGGTAAATGGTCAAATGACCCGGCCTGGCCTTTATGCCTCTGGACTAGTCTATGAGCCAAAAGCCACATTTTTAATTTTATGAGCCAGAATGAAAGAGTTTGCTTAGAAATAGATTTGCACCAGTACATATAAGAAATGACTTCTCTTTGCTATGCTTATGGCTATGAATGAATGGTACACACAGTCAGTCAACAAATCCAACCTGTTATGATCGACCCAACGACGAGCACCTCCAAAATTTCGCGAACATTTTTCAGTACGTCCCTCATTACCTAAAAGCGAGTTTAAATGTGAACAAAATGGAAACTGAATCTTGAAGGAAACTCTCAGGTTTATGATTCAAAAGTAAAATGATCTTTGATCTTAAAAGATCTTGAAAGATTTGGAAAGTCTTGGCTTTGCTGAATGACCAAATCCATCAAATGTTACCTCCTGAATGGTAAATGAATAGCATCAATTGTTATTGTATCCATTAAAAAATGTGTTTTGCTTGTAAATATTGTATCCTCAAAAGAAATGGGCGCGTATGATAAAGTAAGAAAGAA